CAAATATCAAAATTACGCGTTTAAAATTTATAATTCACGCGTTTATCGTACGGTATGATTTAAAAACCACCACGGAATATACATACATACATACATATGTAGGTATTTTATAAAATTTCCTTAGGAATACGTATTTTAAATAATTTCAAACTGGAAGCACAAACGAGTTTTTTATGTAAAATAATTTGCATAATATAATTTTATATTTTTAGAGTAACTTTAAAAAAAATTCTCTTTATAATTTAGGTATCTCAATTTAAGAGAAAAAATTTCTTAAAATAAGGGGAAATAATTCTAAAGAGTACAAAAATAAAAATGAATAAAGTTCATCATTCATTTTATAAGATAAATAAATTCTCGAATTCGCCACATGTTTTATTGTTTTGTTCCTTTAAAAAATTTAATGTTGAATATAATGTTGTTGTTCATCTTTTTGTGAACGTGGTGAATAAAAAGAATTAAGTTTTGTATTAAAAAATTTGCTTTGTGATAATGAATGGTGAATATAAATGTAATGTTATAAATTTTACTGTTGCGACAGTAAATTTAAATTGTACTGTTATGAAAATTAACTTCATGAAATGAGGAATGTTAATTTAATATGACCACCTTAATATGTATATACATATGTAGTTATGTTTGTTATAAATAAATAAATTCAACATCATTCTGTAATCGATTAAATATTACAATATGGTTTATTTTTGCAGGAACTTTGAAATGATGAAAATACCTAAATATTTAGAGGGTTGTAATGTAATCAAATAGGCCAATTATTACACATATTCGTATGTAAATTTTAAAGAAATATGAGTTTTACTCTATGTTTCGCTAGCAACGCAATTCTCCTTCATGGTCACCGACGTTTCTGTCTGTTTGTATATGCAAGCGTGTATATTAAGTTCTTTGGAGCTAATTTTAATGAAATTTTATCTCAGCTATGACGCGAATTGATTAACTTTTGTGATAACTTTAATTCCTTTGCGCATATAAACGGAAATAATCAACCAATTTTCTTGAAATTGAATATTTCAATTAATAAATAATGAATCTAATGGCCACGGCTCGAAATTTTATATAAGGGACGATTTTAAATTTTTTATGGTATAATCTAAGTAATGGATTGATGGAATTTCTTGAAATTTAATATTTGCCTTCTGAATGTTACTGAAACTAACTGGCCAACTTTTCAGGAAATTCAAATAGCCAAAGCGCAATTTTATTACCGAAGAACCAAATTAAACAATAAAAACTGCGGTCGATTATGTGATAAGCATATATCATCTTTTTTGAATTCATTTAATATCAGAAATCACGCAAAAAAAATGTTAGAATTTAGAATTTTTTATATTTAACAGTGCAAAAAAATAACCATGTGATTTCTGTATAAATGAAAAATTATTGAAGAGTAAAAATAATTCAACATTTTTAATTTTTCTTTAAGAATTGCTCAAAAATAACATACATAAATATTTTTTAAACTTACGATAAACCCGGTAACATATTGGTTGAATGATTTGATTCATTAGAGAGTTTTACCTTACAAATATTCTTATGAAATTGAAACTAAAATGCATCGAAATTAAAATATACTTTTGAACATAATTTTAAAATCACTATTAATAATATTTCCATGATTATATAATGAAGTTATAAGTAGTTATTTTACTGGATTTATAAATTAAAAAGAAATGTAAGCATACAATAAGAATCTGAATATGTCGGTGATTATTGGCTTATTTGAATTTTGTAACTATGATTATTATTAACTATTATTATTATTATATATTAATAACTATTTTATAATTTAACTTAAAAGTTTTATAAAGAAATTATTGAAATACACTCCAACCACCTTCAAAACAACTTCCCCAATTAACTAATTATAAATTTACGACCACTGATTCTATGTTTTTAATTCGATGAAACTTTCGTTAAGCTCTAAAATTCCTAAATTATCTTTATTCAGAAATTTCTTTCAAATTTATAATCAAACTTCTTCCATTTATCGTTTATTAGGGTAACAATAAAAAGAAATATACTTTGTATGTACGTAGTAATCCGAAAGAGAACAATTTTTATTCCTTCAAAATAATTATTTTTCAACTTAATGACTATTTTAATGTTATGAATTTTCATCATTACTGTGTGAATCTTATACTCATTCAACTTCAAATTTTTTTCTTTTACATATTATTTGTGGTTCTTTCATGTACTCTTCATTAAATTCAAGTTACTCATGTAGATGTATTGTACTCGTATTGGTAGAGTCTTACAAATAAAATTGGTTACCCCTTTTCTTATTTTACACTGCAAATATTGTTGCAATTTTTTTATATTTTTATAAAATTATATAAAAAATTTGAAGAATATTATTCTCGAAAATGAGCACGTAAATTAATGATGAGTTATAAAATAATACTGTATGTATAGGAAGTTAATGAACCAACCAAAAAATATTTTTATCGTGATATTCATTATAATAGCTATAAATTTAGCTCTTTATATTATTATGCTTCAGAAAAAATGTGATAATTTAATTTTTAAAAAATTTTGAAACTTGGTCAACATTTAGTTTTGGAAACATTATACGAAATCACATACAAAATTATTTGAAAAATCAAAGCATATCTAGCAAATGTAAAATATTTTTTTACCTCTCCGTTTTGAAGTCATAACAAACGATGAGATCTAAAACAATACAAGAAATTGATAATTTTATTAAAAAAATCTTTAAAACAACCGTCGGTAAAATGGGGCCCATTCAAGTTTAAAATGCAACCCATCATTCTGCTTGCAAGAAAATAAATATTCAATTGCGACTGCTGAAATTTGTTCAAAAATTTTTAAGAACTGAATCATAGATATTATATAAGTATATAAAATTCCATACAAATTTATTGTTTGTCGAAACAAAACAATCAATAAACACAGTTGAAAATGTTATTTCTCCTTGTAAGTAGGTAATATAAGAACTGCGAGTGGCCTATATTCATACTCACATAGTACATATTTGAACATAACCCATAAAAGTTTGCCGCGGTTGCTTGCAAACATATTGCTGAATACCATTTTTAAGGTACTAGAACAGTGGAATCACAATATTTTTTCAAGTATAAAGTTTGTACTTCTATCATTTTTACATTCTATTTGGCAATACACTAAATGGCAGCAGTAATTCGTTTCCATATAATCAAAAGTTCAATCAAATGACAATGAAAAAAAATTTTTATTGTTAGAAATTTTTTGCTTTAAATAGAGTTTATCTGGCAACTTTATTTTATAGAAATGCAAATAAGCAGCCAACCATTTCAAAATATTTCAAAGTTTTTATTATTATTTTTTTTTTATTTTTTCTCATATTCTTTAATCTTTACGGAATGCATTACTCTGGTAATTTTTTTTTCATGAGCTAATAAATAAACTGGTTATAAAACATGCACACTTTTATACACAAGGTTTACTTAAATAAGTGGAATATAAATAGAGCAAAATAAAATTACAAGTGCAAGTGCAATGCCATTATTGCCCAAATCTTACAACATAAATACGACAGCATACATGCATTCAACTTACAAAGCATGCAATTCAACTTGACTGCAAATAATAATTAATGTATAGTGATATGAGATGAATATTTTTTGACAGTGGTATGAAATAAAATTAAAGGTGAGAAATGTATTTTTGTATATTTTCACGTCAAATATAAAGTTGTAAATGAAAATTGGGGTATGATGCAGACTACAAAAGAATTAAAAATGTAGCATGATTCAGTGAATCTAATTTTCGATAATAGTTTTCTCTAGTATTAGTTATCTTAATATAATTTCTTATATGCATAATCTTATATAGCGTGATGAAAAATAATTATAAATTTTAAATAGAAAAATAGTTAATTAATATTAACTTAGGTGAAAATAACTACAATAACTATGCCGGGATGTAATGGTGTGAATTTGCTGAAATTATTTTCTTGAGTTAGGATAAGAATGATCTCTAATCGAATACAGTTCTGGTGACGATATTTTCTTTAATTTTTTTCTTTCTAACAAAGCTAGTTTTGTAAATTCTTTCTTTAAAATTAAATTAATTGAATTTAAATTAAAATCAACTTCATTTAATTATTTTTAGCTAGATAATGTGTTCAAAATCTAATAGATATTTTAATTAAATGTCTACATAATTTGTATAATATGTTTAATACCTCATAGTTCAGTTAAAATCGATGTTTTTTAATCCAATATAATAAATAATCAGAAATCACTTGGAAGAAATGTAAATCATGTGCTTTAAAAATTATAAATTTACTTCAAATACAACCATAAATTTTGTATGTACGCTAATATTTTAATATTCATAACATGACAAGATGTAGTAGGTATGTAATTTATTTTCTATATGAATTATAACACAAAAATATTCTTTCGCATAACTTTTCTCCAAAGTAGTTATCAATCAAAAATATTTAACCTAATTTCACGAAAATAATTTTTGGGGTATTCTAAATTTGCGATATCGTTTGTAATCATTAAAAAATTAATTAAAATTATAAATTTACGAATGTATGTTAAATTCTCGTGGGATGTTGAATTTGGGTAAAGTTAGGATTTTATGTTTATTGAAAAAGTGACACGATAACTTTAGATCACTTATATAGAGTAATCTTAAAGTATCATAGGTTAAATGAAATGACGACAACAGCACACAGTTTAGTTGGATTCTTAAGTATAAATTTATCCAAATTAATTTAAGTTTAGAGAATTTTTAGGTAGTGTGTTTTAAACCTAACCCACAACTAAGCAGGTGAATTTTATATTTAATATTTGAAACTTATTTCCAAAAATATCATGCATGGTATTTAATAAAATTTTTTTTTATAATTGTGCCTATGTTATTGGAATAATTTGTGTTGAATTTAAAGAGCAATTATATGAATACTTGTACATACGAGTATTATAAATTATTTTTAAATTTAATTTTGAAACTGTGTTCATTAAATTACAATATGAGCGTATACTGAGAAAAATGAAATAAGAAAGTGCAGATGAAGGCAGATAAATAGAGAATAATTTAAATTGTAAATCGAATAATTTTTTATAGTAATATATAAAAATATTAATAACGTACATATATATAATTTTTGGCAATATGCCAAAGATTATTATTCCAAATGAACGACTGCTGTCTAGTTTTTTGATGTCTTGTTAGCTCTTATAAAATTAGGCGTTGAATAATTTTAAATCAAGAGGACGATCTTCTTTTTCTTTTTTTGCCATTCGACCATATAAATTTATGTTGTATTACTTTTAATCGTTTAGGCTTACCTAAAAAGAAAAATAAAATTGATTATTTAAAAATTTTAATATAAAAAAGAAATTATATTTTTGTGGAATATAATACATCTGCTTATAAGTATAGCTAACCTCTAAGTTTTGAAAATATTTCAAAATATTCAAATTTAAACAAGTTTCAACTTTTATATCATAGCCTTTACGCAAAATAAATTATTCGATATTATTTTATATTTGAAATAAATTAATTATTTACTATTTTAGGATCTAGACGGCAGAACAAAATGCAACAAGAAACAAGACTAGAATATGATGTCGAAAAATCAGCCTAATACAGCATATTTTAGAAATTGTTCAAAAAAAAAATTGTAGAAACAAATATTTAGCGTATTACATCAGTGGCTTCAAGCACAAACGACTTAAGTCTGTTTTAGTGATTTCGAGATAAATGCATTTAAAACTTTAAACTAAATTTTGAAAAAAGTTATGAAGTTTTTTGAACCAATTTTTTTTTTTGATCGAAAGATAATTAAAAAAGGAAGCGATTAACTCACAATCTGAAGTAAAACAACTAATAGCATTCTCGTAATTATGAAAAAAGAGAGATAGGCGGTTATACAAAATTTATAAAAAGCATTTTGCAAAGCATATCTCGACTTAGACTATTTGTGAAAAATTACTTTTGCATTTTCGTCAAATTTAAGTCGACTTAAGTTGTTGTTGAAAAACTGAAGATATGGTTTTAGGTGTCTTAAGTTATGTTGAAAAGGGGAAAAATATATGTATTATTTCTACATTGTTTGATTTTCACTTTTTTTTTCAAATCATTGTCATAAAAAACATAAATTGAGGTAAGAAATGAATAAACTTCAAGTAAATCTAACTAGTTAACACCTCGTCTTAAAATATAAAAAATCTTTGTATAAACTGTTCTTGTAAAATATTTTTGGAAGTCAATTTTTTGAAATCTGTGGTGCGACTCTTTCCACTTAAGAGAATTTCAAAAAGTAATTCAATTACAAAAAGGCTTCATTGTGCAACGGATCAGACAAAGTTGTTACATTATTGTAAAAATGAGCACATAAAGTAATTTCTAAAATGAGTTTATAAGTTTGGTGTTTGTTATCTCATTTTTGTCTTAACTCGAGTTAGGCGGTTTGTGTTTGAGGCCACTGACATAAATAAATGGTCATTATTTTAGTAAAAGCTATTGAAATTTAATGAGTGTTTACAACAGTGCTATAAAACTGCAACAGGTCAAACTATTGAAACTATAGTATTGAAATTTGGCAAAAACCAATTTGATAATATGGCCATTATTTTCAGTAAAATTTTAATATATTGTATGGGTTTGTATTGTAACTGCCATATGTGCAAAATAGCACTACACAAAAAAAAAACAAAAGGTCGTATGAAGCATTGGAACAATTATTATACAACTCCTACACTCATTCATTCGTATGGTTATCACAGAGTTGACACATACAATTCTAGGCACTCTAATTTTTGGTTATGACTTAATTCTTAAAAAAATTTGTTCTTTTGCGCAATCTGCGAACTAAAATTCTTTGACCTTGTACTTTTGTTTTAAACATTGTGCATTTCTTGACTCATCAACCAATATGTATAGTTTTTGGACTTTAATTTTTACAATTTTCACAATTACAAATATCACTATTTTTTCTAAACTGACATTAATTTGGAAGGCAAGTTTACTCTCAAGGAAAATTGGAAATATCTTAACAACTAAGATTATCAATCTAGTTTAGAATTTAATGTCGAAATTTTAAGTGTGTTCTATGATAAAAATTACTAATATGGCACTTCGCAACATTTGTTCAATTATTTCACATAGTTTTAAAATTTTGAATGAAATTATTAATAAAATTATTTAAAATCAGGTTTATTTACTTTATTTCCCCAAAAACAAAAAAAACCTTTCACAAAATCTCACAATTAATGAACTGCAATTAAAGATTACTAAAAAGTAAAATGCAAAAATCTCAAGCATTCTCTTTTAAGAACCTTTTAATTTTGTGTGGATTTTAACTTTTATACATCCTAATAATATTTTTTTTTATATGTACATAACTGATATATGAGTCTATATTATGTTAAGTATATCTTAATAGTCATAATAATAAATTATCTTAATATTACCTTTTATTTAATTTAATATAACCACTTATATTTTGTAATGAGTTACGACTCATCTTTTTAAATTTAAATTTAAATGTGAAAAAAGAAACAGCTATATAAGGATACATACAAAATATATATATATATATATGTATACATAGGAGGGAACAGTAAGGAAACAAACCAAAAAAAAAATAATGATTTCCTAGCCCATATTTTACTGTTAGCATATTATTTTTCTTCGTAAAGTAAAATAAATGCAAGACGAAAAAAAAAATACAAAGAATTATTATCCTTGAAGTTTGAATTAAGTATGAGTGAATTATTCTTACAGTCAGGCCCAATATGAAACAGTTAGAAGAGAAACTTATATATATACATACCTATTCATTCTACCATAGAGACTCTCTTGAATTTTATAAATGTCTCTTATTTTGTGGAGTAATTACTCATTTTTTTATGGATTTTAAGTAGCATAAAAAAACCAAAAAAAAAATTCTTAAAAAAAATTTTTCTTTTTCATTTTTGTTGTGTTAATTAATTACATTAGATTTTTTTTTATTTAACATTTTAACACTTACTTAAAAAAAATGAGGAAAAAAATTCGCGCATAAATCTTTATAAAACAATAAAAAGAGAGGGATCAAAGAGAGAATATAGAAGAGAATAAAATTGAAGAATAATTCGATTTTGGTTTGTTTAGGAAACCGAAACAATAAACGAAATTACCATTTGGTAATATTTTTACTGTTCCGATCTTGGTGCTCAGAAAATTTAAAAGTTTAATAGATAATATTTTAAAAATTTCTTTTTTGAATATTAGAAATTTACACAATATGTAAACCAACAGGGTCAATTATTGGCTTATAGGGGTATTATGCGAAATATTTGTGTAACTAATGAGATCTAAAACTGTCGTTTTTCAATGCTCATTTAAAATTTTTATAATTAATTTAAATTCAAGTATAACAGATTAGAATTAAAGCCACAGAACGTATGAGAATTAAGCAAAATATAGGCAAAAATTTTAAGTAATTTATTCAAACTGCACAAATAATTATTGCAATTACCACTTCGCCTTAGCTAGAACAGTATATTTGTGTACTTGAAATTTTTAAAAGTTACAGGTAAAATTCCTAAATCGATGGTCCATTTCAAGAATTCCAAAATATATAGTGGAATCCTTATTTAATAAAGCATTGTATTTGAAAAACAATTGTTTTCAAATTAAAATTTCAAAAATATTCTAGTATTATGAATGTAAATATTTTGTTCAACTAAAACTGCTTTTAAATTGAATTATTATTTGCTTTATAATGCACAGCCAAATACAAAAACTTTTAGACATAGGGGGAAAAAAAATGTCCGAAAATTAGTAAGAATTTATAAATGAAATTCTGTTGCATTTTCCATCAAGTTTAAAGCAAACCTCGCGTTTACTCTTTTTTGTATGAAAGACCAAAATTTGTTTATATTCAAATTAAAAAAAAAAAAAAGCATGATAAATAAAAATATTAAAAATAAAAGGATAATAAAAATTTATTTCATAGCGTTTAACACACTTTTGTTGGTTTGATTGTAATTTTTCTTATTTTTCTCATTCAAAAGGACAAAAAGTGTACATATTTTATGTAAGTGTGCGCTTAGATATACATAGCAGATTATAAATAATTTTATATAAAAGCTACCCACCTCTAAATAATGCAGCAGGAAGAATGGAAACACAAAAAAAAAAAAAAACAAAGAATAAAAAGTTTTCGCTTTAATAAAGGGTTTCGGTTTTTCTTGTTTTTTTATTTTTTATTTTGTTTTTTTTTTTAAATTTGTGAGGACCAAAGGCGATGGCGTGGCATGGTATGGTTATAAAAAATACCAAAACAAAAAAAAAATAAACTGAATTTTCATTTTATAACCATCATAACTTTGTTTAAATAACAAAACTGAAATCTTTTTGTATAATTTTTACAAAAATAACCATACATCGTATGCTAGTAAAAGAGACAGGACGAAAATAATAAGACTGTATAATATTGTATGTATATATATGAATTATGTAATGAGCATATAAACATAGACGTGTACCGTGCTACGGTTTTCTTTACTTTTGAACTAATTAACAAAATCCTTTTTTTTTTTTTCTCTTTTGTGACCCCTTTCGAATTTTGTTTTTCTTTCTTACATTATCGTGTATGTATACGTGTATATTTTTGTATATGTATATATATAATTTGTATGTGCGATTTATTTATTTTAAAAATTTTTATAATTTTAAAGTTGCGTTTCATTTTTAAGTAGACGAGCGATTTTAAATTATCCATTCATTTTTAATACACATTTCATTAGCATTCTTTATAGATACCTAAATTTCTTTTTCAAATTTTTTTCCGATTATTGTAATCAGCAGCTTCCAAATGCAAAGTATATTGAATAAAATAATAAAAAAAAAATCTGATGTGGTCAGCACATAACCGACCGCATTGTGCATTGTCTAGTTAAGTGAAAGTGTTACAGAATATTATAAAAATGCCTGTTAATTACCTCTTTCCAATTGTTAGGACATTAGTAAGCTTATAATTAACATACCTAGAAAAATGTAAATTTGGCTCTTAATAGAGTTTCACTTTGTGCCACCCGAATTCCCTGAAATGCTCGTCCGTTAGTTTCGGCAACAACCAGAACTCAAATATCAAATTTCAAGAAATTCTATCAATTAGTTCCGTAGATATGGTGAAAAATGTAAAATCGGCCCGCAGATTAGTTTTCGAGCCCTGATGTTTCCAAAAAATTTATATGTTCATTGTTTTAATACGAGGAATTCATATATTAAATTTCAATGAAATCGGTTGATTATTTTTCTTTATATACGCAAAAATGTATATTTGGCCCGTAGTAAA